AGGAGTTGATATGGCGAGTTCCTTTGTAACAGTTAGAGGTAAGTTAGGTTTTTTTGACCATTTGCCATACGTGGATTGCAAATTTTTTTTTTCCCCTTCATCTTTTGTATTATATATATGGAAATCCCTGGATTTTACGCGCTTTGGTTGTACTATTCATCAGTGATGTTTAGGCAGCTAACTTTTATTACTTCCCTGCCTAATGAGTAACCTTCGAGCTATCGTCTTCATTTATAAGTCGAAGTTTTGTTACAAAGTTTGGAACGTTGTATATAAAATGTCTCAGCGATGGCTGATAAATTCGAGATTACTTTCTTTATCACATTTTGGCAAATCTACACACGAGAACTTTGGAATGCTTGCTTCTCCAGTTTTCTTTTGTTTTGTTCTTACGAACATTCTTTAAGTCGACTAACGTGCTTCTGTGTGGTACACGCATATCAAAGCCAGTCAGATCCAAGTGTCAGTTTAATATGATAAGCGTTCAGAACGGAGGAGAATGAAGACTGACTTCATGACTTCATCGGTTTCCTTCATGAATAATCCATCAGCTCTCTTACAAGACTGGTATTAATAATGTAGGATACAAGGAATTTTCAAAAATTTTGAAACTACCAGCATTTCTCGTTTCGTGCGCATGTGTAGACGTGGCAAGCTCAACAAAGCCCAGTCCGATGAAATCACAACTAATGAATCTTCATATCGTACACATCTATCTATCTGCCATATTTTGTGCACATCTAATTTTTATTTTATTTTTTAATCGAAATCACCCCGAGCAAGGCAATAAATCCACTAAGGCACAAGGTGTTACAGGGCGAAGAAGAATTAGGAACAAGAACATTAATGATGATCAGAAAGATAAGAGAATAATCAGGAGGACAGTACATAGGATTGACATTGTATCAAAATTTTCAGATTAAAGTTGGGTGGAAAGCATGGAAACGGATGGGAGTTCTACACTCGAGAAACGTAAGAGAAGAAACTGTCATCATAGAACTTACGGCTAAATCTGGGTTGAAACCGTAGTGATATTCGTTTCTTTTTCTTATTAGATGCATACATGGATTTACTTACATTCCCACAAACATTGTATGTGACATTGTGAGAGGATACTGGCAAAAATTAATCTGAAATGAAACATTTTCACTTATTTGAAATTCCGAGTTGAAACCTTTCCTTTACTCTGTGAAATATTACATCCTCGCCTTTGTTGTTACGGCATCTCACTTTTGACCAGTCTGATCTCTGGTGTTCAGGTGTAATATAATGACTGCAACAACAATGTTGGGGATGCTCGCTCGCATAATTCATCAAATTAGGAAATAGTTTGAACTTTTTCGACCAGAAATTTAGAGCAGGCGACAAGCAAACAGTTGCAATTAGCCGCAATGAAGCATAAAAAAAGTTTGGAAATGTTTTTTTATCTGTGTGTTACTGTTTGCTTCTTTTGATATTCGTCTTTAGGTACGTCTTACTTCCTAGAGGTAGGTATTGAGTGTAGACAAAAGCTAAGAAAAATATGCAAAAACAAAAGACACCTACCTAAATAGAAACTATCGACACAATTTACAATTTCACAGGTAGATCTTTATATAATAAAGGAAGGCGTTAAAGTCTATGAAACAAAAATCTCTTTATCATTTGATATGATAAGATGATTCATGTTGCGCCCAGTATTAAGTCAATTATGTGCTATCCGTGATACACGCTTAGGCGATCAGGTATCTTTCTATACATGACTGACAAGGCAGATTTTGTCCCGTAGTAGGTTGCCATTTCTTTCTCCGGTAGAGCAGTTACCATCCATGGCTATAGAACCCGGTCTGTCCAGCTATGTACCCATTATGTGCCATGCGGGATACTCACTTAGGCGATCAGGTATCTTTCTATACATGACTGACGAAGCAGATTTTTTTCTCGTAGTAGGTTGCTATTTCTTTCTGTGGTAGACCAGTTGCCATCCAAGGCTATAGAACCCGCTCTGTCCTGCTATTTGCCCATAGCTGGCGGGAGAATAAGAGGCTTCATACCTTTCCCCAAGTGGAGAAATTCATTTTTTTTTTTTTTGGATTCGACTGGAATTAGAACTCGGCTCTCCGATTCCTCAATCCGACCACTATCCATTACTCCACCGTGCCTCCATGCGTCCAATATTACTATTCAGAAAATAAAAGGAGTAAATGGCAAAATGCGGACCAAATGGTAAAACCTCCTTACCTGACTACCCATCAGTGCAAACAAACACCCACTGTCGTTTCTTGGGTGTGCCCGTTCTTGAATGGTCTAAAGTTTGGTAACTCAGCATCACAGTCAATCAGTGTAAGCATGACACACAAACCTAATTCACAATATGGAGTTAATTGGCTGTCCACCCAGTCTGGAAAAATCATTGTCTCAGCATATCATTCTTTGCTATATTTCTGCTTCGTTTTAAATCATTTTTTAAAATAATTTTTCGTCAAGCAAAGTGACAAAACCCGTAACACGTTATTGATGAAAAATAAAAGAATGGGAATCAAAGAGACAGAAAATAACGATTGACGCTGCATTTAAATTTTTGAAGATCAACTTTGACTGGAAAACAAAAATCACAATACAACAAAAATTCTTTTATTCAATTTTACGTTTTCGGGGAAAAGATTTGATACGTAATCATCCTTGTTTGCGGAAACCAGGCAGCAGATATATAGCTTGTTTTAGTGCACTTGAGAAATGTTATTTTGAGAATATCTACATACCTGTCAGGTAAACAGTGTATTGTTATCAGTCACCTTGACTTGTAGAATATTAATAGATTGTACAAACTAAAATATAGAATTTTGACACGGAAATGTAAAACACTATATTAAAAAAATATTTTGATTATTATACTTTGTTGTGATTTTTATTGTATCCTTTATATGTAAGAGATACGAGTTCAAATCCCGTCAAGGTTGTTTCTTTATTTTTGACCCTGCTGTTGACTTAGGACTGCAACATGTAAAACGAAGTGTGGTTTCGGAATAAAAATAATAATGAGGTCAAAATATAAGCTAAATAAATTGGAAAAAGGTCTGATGAATTCAGATAACTTAATATTATTACAGTTACAATTCTTTTATCAAAATATTCGCTATGGCCCAAAACATTGGGACCAACCGCTGGAGTTTGAAGAATCACTTGGCGATTGAATATTGCGAGCCTTTTTCTAAATTAATTTACGAGCCAAAAAGACTTTCTCTTACATATATTCAATAACAATAATGATAATAATAACATTAATAGTAGATAGGTTCCACTATTGCCCGGTTCACACTTCTCTCTGGTCTTTTGAACAGGGGTAGAGGTTTAACGCTTGATTCCTGCTTAAATCGGGTTTCCAATTCTTTGTAAGGTCTTCTTATTCTCTTTCAGTCCCAATAGCCATTTGCGTCTTTGTGGTAATATCGCCTTGCTTGGAGTGAATTGATGAAATAATAATAATAATAATAATAATAATAATAATAATAATAATAATAATGATTCCTTAAGATGTTAGCTCTTTTGTCCTAACCTACCTTATTGTCAAATGACAATATTCGATCTGGCGGATTTACAATTTCTGATAACACCATCCCTAAAAATCGGACACTATGTACTAACGGATAAAATAGTTTCATCATCCTAACGTAGTAAAAGTTAATTAAGCCAAAAGAAATCCTGAAACTTACTAATTATTAAATCCAGAGGGCAGGACCCCCAAATTCTTAGTCTATAGTGTATTTGGTAATTGTCATGACGAATGCCCGTTTCCTTACAATTAACAAGACGTTTAAAAAAAATATATCATTGATGTTACCAATAAACAGTGACGAGCAGACGTCAAATCGACGCAGTTTCTGACTTTCTGTCAATTATTCTGCGGTCACCTTGCTGTTACAGCTGACAAAAATACAGTCCTAGGAATCATGAAGAGGATTGTTAATTTCTCTAAAGTGAACCTTATTCTTCACGTGGAAGGTTCGTTTTGAATTTTCTCATCCACAAAATGAACTTTCTAAGACACTGCCATCTTGTTTGTTCATTAACAGTTCCTTCTACAAATGACAAATATTGATAATGGCATTGGGCTAAAATGTTTATAATTTAAACTCATATATATATATATATATATATATATATATATATATATATATATATATATATATATATATATATATATATATATATATGTGTCTGTATATATATATATATATATATATATATATATATATATATATATATATATATATAAAAGGTAAAAAGCAATAGGAAAATTGTATTATTAGTCGACGCGTTTCGTCCAATATGGACTTTTTTCAAGGCAAAAACGAAATTTTGCTTTCGCCTTTAAAAGTCCACATTGGACGAAACGCGTCAGCTAATAATACAGTTTTCATATTGTCTTTTGCCTTTATACATATTGACTTTTTCTACAGGTTAACACTGAGAAATTTTTCATATATATATTTATATTAAGGGTGAACACATATACTTTATGATGAACAGATCAGATGAAAACTGAGACAAAACAGCGAAAATCAAAGTTTACAGTATGAAATGTTACAAAACTATGAACACCGATAATGCATCTTGATGCTAGTAAAATCATCAAGTGTCGTGAATTTGACAGTTTTTAAGCTACAATTTAATATAAACAATTGATATCTTTATGTTAAAAAAGGAATTTAAAATGGTTTCGAGTAAATGAAGCATTTGGGTCTCGGTATACTTCGAACCTCATGGACTCGGGAAACCGCGTGAAATACCAGAAGTTACATGACTTAAAGACATTCAACAACAGCAACTACTAAAAATGATTGCACATGTAACTCGAAGAGAAAATAATGACATAATATGTTGAGGTTGCACATTGCTCGAAACAAAAGCAACCCCCATAAATATTGAAAAGAACAGTTACTGGAACTAAAAACAGCTTTTACTAAAAACAGCTTTTGACTAATGAATATTGAATGTTTTCTCATATGTTTTCTAATAATACTGCATATGTGTGTGTGTGTGTATATATATATATATATATATATATATATATATATATATATGAAGAAATATAGTCTTAAGATGTGCTATATTTATGGGATAAAATTGCTCAATATCAGAGATAAAGCGTGTAAATATAAAAGTGAATATAAGTCAACACTTAGAGGCGACAGTCTGTTTCATGCTAGATGCAATCGTCAGGTGGCCTGACGATTGCATCTAATATGAAACAGACTGTCGCCCTAAGTATTGACTTCTATGTTCACTATATATATATATATATATATATATATATATATATATATATATATATTTATATATATATATATATATATATATATATTTATATATATATATATATATGTATGTATGTGTGTGTGTTTGTGTGCAGCAATCTCTCTTTTATACAAGTTTCGTTAAAACGATTTACAAGAAACTGTGGTTGAGATTATTTTTATTTAATTTTTCTTGTGTTATAATTTTTTGTCTTTTCCAGACATAAATTATCTAGAAATTGTCCTATTGCTGTCTGTCCGAGCGCTTTTACCTATACTTTTAGCCATTATCAATGATGATTTCATTTAATCCTAAAATTTAACACTAACCACAATCCTTATCACCTAATCCTAATCCCGAATCACGATGGGTATTAACGAAATAAAGCTAACATCCCATGTTAACATGTTTTCTACTTTTTATTGAGTCTCATATCTTCATTTCAGAACTGTAGAAAGCAACGGTAGACAGTATATTTGGGAGCAGGAACTAAATCCGCGCTTGATTTATGTTACACACAATTTGAGAAGCGTTGTCTCCAAGATTAAACTCGTCTTAAACCTTGAGCTATAAAACATTCAAATTATCTTCGAAAAAAGAAAACAATACATCTATCGAAAAAAAAAATAATCTTACTAAATATACGGATTAGGCTGAAGAAATATGGAGTATACACAAGCAAAATCGGATAAAATAAAACTTATTATTTTCTGAACAACCCAATAACAAATTACATTTTATTTGTACTGGATGAAGTTTATTTTAATGACTTTGACAAGGGATAAAACTAGAGTACACTGGTAATTGTTGACGTAGGAATGAAGACTGCGAGAGATTGGGTGAAAGACCATATGTTGGTTTGTCAGTGACAACAAAGAGGTTTCAAAGGTTAAGCATGTATAGACAATGACGTTGTGGTAAACGAGCTGAACGAGCGGTCTCTGGCCTTTGACCTGGTGGATTTAATCTGATAAAAATATTGGCCGGAATTTCAACTTAAGTGTCCTGCGGCAGCCAAAAGGTCAAATAATACTTCGACTTCTTATCTGTGATGTCATCACATCATGTCAGTTGTTCTCTGTCAAATGAGTGAAATCTTTTCGTTTACCGTCTTTTTACGTTTTTAATTTTGATAGATTACGAAATCCTTTACTGCCTTAATTATATTTTTCTTTTTTCATGTATAGTCTCTTGTCTTTTATTCTCTTTCTTTTCCGTTTATCGATTCAACTTTTCTCCCCTTTTACTGTCATTACTTCTTCATCACCCTTTTTCTTTTGATTTCCCCTCTTTCACAAAATAACAAGATTTCGTTCTTTCTTTCTTTCTTTCTTTCCTTTCTTTCTTTTTTTCATTCTTTCTTTTCTCTTTCGGTCTTTCTTCATTTCGTTTATTCTTTCTTTCTTTCTTTCCTTCTTTCTTTCTTTCTTTCTTTCTCGAAGACTGACTTTTTTCTTCTTTTCCATTACTTTTTCTTCTTTTTTCTTTGCTTTTTTGCTTCTTTCTCTTCTCTCAAAGATTTTTTCTTACTTTCTAAATCTTTCCTTCTGACTATTTCTAACACTTTAAATTTTTCCATATTTTTGTTTTTTTCTGATTTTCTTTCTTTCTCCATTTTGCCCATTTCCTTCCTTCCTTCTTTCCTTCCTTCCTTTACTCAATTTTTATTTTTTCTCTTTCTTCCTCACAGCATTTCTTTTTGTTTTGTACCGTCTCTCTTTCTTGTTACTTTCTTTCTTTCTTTTTTTTTCTTTCTTTCTTGTTACTTTATTCATATACATATATATATATATATATATATATATATATATATATATATATTTCTTCCCCTTCTTTTCTTGTCACACAACCTTTGTCTATCACCAATATCCTCTGTTATTCGTTTAATATTTCACATGTAATTTTTTTTTTCTTTTTTTTTTCTTCTTCTTGCCTGTTTCTTCTTCAACTGCCGTTCTTTCTCCAATCCTGGGGGAATTCAGACTATACATCTGGCTGTGCAGACAAAAAGACAGAAGGTTTGCATAACTACAAGAACATCCACGCCTGCAAGGGTAAATGGGAGGGTCACGTGAAGCGTGCCCGTTGGCTGTGTGCCAAGGGATGGAGCGTGTGTAACCCAAAAGACGCGGAAGCCATCAAAAAGATCACGTGGGCAGACATTTATGACCTACACGGTTGTTACGCATACAACGCAGCTAATCACAAGGGCAAATGTACCAGGTGAGTCACAGTTGACTTAGTGATATGGCATCGCGACAGCTATAGTCATAGTATAGAATAAACGGATGTAGAATGCGTTAGCATGTGATTGGATTTGTTCTTTCAGTGTTTGTGTGTGTTTTTGTGTGTTTTTGTGTCATTCGATTTGCAAAGAATCGTTTGTGCCTTTCCACAAAATGGTTTTTCTGCTATATAATGGCTTTGAATATATCGTTAGATCTTTTATTCAAAAAGCTCGATGATTATCAAGATAGATCAGAAGTCGATTAGCTATTGATTGTTTTGTCTTAGCATTTTATTACATAAAATCAAAATTTGTAGATACATTAAAAGCTTATACCTGTAGAAAAAATGACCTCACAAACAGGGCGCTCATCAAAAATGTAAAGTCCCTGGTAACTTACGTAGCCATCATTTAACGCTATCATAGGCATGTTTGGGTCGCTTTTTTTTGTCAGTGAACAGAATTCAATTGATAATGTTCATTTTCTGGTTGAGATATTGCTTCGAAACTCAAGATATGTCATTCAAAATCGACTGTCGTGAAAAAGGAAATGATTTAAAGTAATTAGGAGCAAAATTTAAATTATGCTGATCTCAGCAAAATTACAAAAATTTTGGATTGATTTCTTTTGCACGGCTTACCAAACCTTTTCAGGTTATTTAAACCCCCAAAATATTTTTAGATTGTAACAGTTTTTTTTTAAGAATGATTTACTGATACAAGTCCTGTTAATCAAACAATAGATGGGAAGGAGGAGACGTGGACTCATATCTATCCCAAGGGTATTTACATTTAAGTGAATATATCGAACCTGAATGGAATCAGAAATCAGCTCTCCGATTTCCAATTCCGAGTCGTTATCCATTATACCATCCACCAATCCATGCTTAAAGCTCCGGGTGTTCTCAATCTGTCACCCATCTTGGTACTGACCAGGCTCGACGTTGCTTAACTTCGGTAATCGTACGAGAACCGGTGTTTCAAAGTGATATGGCCGTAACCCCACCAAAAGTTGGAAAATATGATTTTTTTCTTATTTACGCGCCCACAAAATATTCTGTTATGACTAAAATTTCAATAAGCTATTTCTTGGCGAACGAATGAAGGTAAATATAAAATTTAAACTGAAAAAAATGTGCAGAAGTGCTGACATCAAAAGTCAAGATGATGTCCGTAGTTCCTAACCCAGTGATAATTTAGAATAAAAGGTAGCAGGTTAAATTATAATCCTGCAATTCTTTAAACAATTTAAGCAATTATTTGCATCTCTGTGTCCCTTTAAAATTGGTGGGCACCCCTTTGGACCTCTGTGTCTCTTTAAAATTGGTGGGCACCCCTTTGAATCTCTGTGTCCCTTTAAAATTGGTGGGCACCTCTTTGAATCTCTGTGTCCCTTTAAAATTGGTGGGCAACCCTTTGCACCTCTGTGTCCCTTTAAAATTAGTTGGCACCCCTTTGAATCTCTGTGTCCCTTTAAAATTAGTGGGCACCCCTTTGCACCTTTGTGTCCCTTTAAAATTAGTGGGCACCAATTTGCACCTCTGGGTCCCTTTAAAATTGGTGGGCACACCTTTGCAACTGTGTGTCCCTTTAAAATTGATGGGCACGCCTTTGCACCTCTGTGTCCCTTTAAAATTGGTGGGCACCCCTTTGAATCTCTGTGTCCCTTTAAAATTGGTGGGCACCCCTTTGCACCTCTGTGTCCCTTTAAAATTGGTGGGCACCCCATTGCACCTCTGTGTCCCTTTAAAATTGCTGTGCACCCCTTTGGACCTCTGTGTCTCTTTAAAATTGGTGGGCACCCCTTTGGACCTCAGCGTCTCTTTAAAATTGGGAGGCACACCTTTGCACCTGTGTGTTTCTTTAATATTGGTGGGCACCCCTTTGCACCTCTGTGTCCCTTTAAAATTGGTCGGCACCCTTTTGAATCTCTGTGTCCCTTTAAAATTTGTGGGCACCCCTTTGAATCTCTGTGGCCCTTTAAAATTGGTGGGCACCACTTTGCACCTCTGTGTCACTTTAAAATTGGTCGGCACCCCTTTGGACCTCTGTGTCCCTTTAAAACTGGTGGTCACCCCTTTGAATCTCTGTGTCACTTTAAAATTAGTGGGCACCCCTTTGCACCTCTGTGTCCCTTTAAAATTGATGGGCACCTCTTTGCACCTCTGTGTTCCTTTAAAATTGATGGGCACCCCATTGCACCTCTGTGTCCATTTAAAATTGCTGTGCACCCCTTTGGACCTCTGTGTCTCTTTAAAATTGGTGGGCACTCCTTTGTTTACAAAAATTCCAAAATAACCTGGACACGATTAAGGAGCGTAATCGGAGTACGAGTAGCAGTAAAACGATTTTTTTCTGTGAGAGAGAGAGAGAGAGGGAGAGAGAGAGGGAGGAAATCGGGAAGGGAGAGAGAGAGACTGAGAGAGAGGGGGAAATCAGGAAGGGAGAGAGAGAGAGAGGGAGGAAATCAAGAAGAGAGAGAGAGGGAGGAAATCAGGAAGAGAGAGAGAGAGAGGGAGGAAATCAGGAATGGGGAGAGAGAGAGAGAGCTGGAGGAAATCAGGAATGGAGAGAGAGAGAGAGGGAGGAAATCAGGAAGGGAGAGAGAGAAAGAGAGAGGAGATATCTTCATACTTTGCTTCATTTGTTTCTGTTTTTACTGTTTGCTTTTTTGTTTTCTTTTTTAGGACTGACTAAATTTTTTTTTCAAGATTCCTAGTTTTTCTTAAAGTCTTCGTCCATTTCTTGGCTTCATTCCAAAAATGCTTAAACCAATTTTAGGTAGGACGATCAGGTATCATTTAACTTATTTCCACTTCCCGAACTGAAATAAAGTATTTTAATATTTAACATTTTAATATGTATTACTTGACATTATATAACTTTAACCAACCTTTGATTTTGTTATATTTTCTCCTGTTTCAACTTTAAAATTAATTGTATTATTTTAGTACTTCCCAAAGATCTTTGCTTGAATATTGTTTTCCATTCTCAGATGTATATCTTTTAATGAGGCATCACAAATTTTCTATGGAATATCTGCAGAATCATTCCAGGGACCATTCTGTAAATTTGATGTCTTTGAAACATTTTGACAAAGTAAGCTTTGGAGAATATGAAAGAGAATTATCTTGCATGAATGTATTTTTTCATTTCTAGCCAGATTCTGACCTGGACTACTCAAAAATCAAAGTGTTCAAGAAATTTCAATAATACTCTGCATTTATTATCATCATCAAATTCGACGCGATCCATAATTTTCCGACCTCGAATACAAGCCCAAGTAATTATGCATTCTCTTCAACAGTTGCCATCTAATTCTTGTCTCTATGAAGAATTCACCCGAAATTCCAGAGATAGATCCATCCAATGTAGCTCTACACTTGTCTCTAAAAATTAGCTGTGAAATAAGTTGCAATATACTTCATCGGCAAAATTACACTTTTCTCTTTATAATTTTTACTTAAATATTATTATTTTTATGTCGTCAGGCATTTTTTTTATATTAGGCATTTTCTGTTTATATTCACAACACACGGTGTGTTATTTTTCTGCAATTCAATCCAATTTGCTCCATTATTTCTCTTCATTTTCCTTAAATCTCTTTCTTGTTACATTCTTAAATGCGTTATTCTTACCTTACCAATGATTTCAATTTCTTTTGTTAATCGATCTTTGATCTTTGTTCAAACTTGTCGCAATTCCCAGCGTCGTCTTTTCATCACTCAGTAACTTTACAGGTGTCTTCTTTTCTTTTGAGGTTATGTTTACCTTTAATGACCTCTTGTCTTATCTTCCAAGGTAATTAAGCCACAAAGACACAAAGGGTTACTGAGTGTGAAAGAATTATAAAACTGAAACATGACAAGGAACGAGAACAAAGAAGAGAAATCAGAAGGACAGTAGATAGCGATAGACATTGCATTTAAGCTTTTGAAGATTAAAGTTGACTGGAAAGCAGGGAACGGAAAGGTAGTTCCACAAACGAGAAGTGCGAGAAGAGAAACTGTTAGCATGGAACTTACAATCACATTTTATCAACTTAGCTATAAATAGATAAGACCTCATCCTTTCTTATTGCGCTTAAGTTCGTAATATCTAGGTACCATAGCTCATCCGAACAATTACCATGAAAGTATTCATAGAAAAAGCACATAGAGGCAACATTACGGCGTTGTATAAGAGACTGAAACCGAGACACCACCTCAGGACCAATAATATTGCTGATTCTTCTTTGGATTTTATCAAAGATCTCTAGATATATAGCAGGAGCGCCGGGCCATATGTGGCAGCAATATTATAAGAATGGAAAAATGCTAGGCTTATAAATATGTAAGATAGATTTTTGAGATTAAAAGTTGTTTAGCACAGCACTTTCTTAACAGCTGACTTAACAATGGATCTATAACAGAATAAGCGTCTATAAACGATGAATTAAGTTGAACTGCAAACAAGGATCTCGCGATTGCGTCTCGATTAAGGGATGAGCCTCGCGAAACGGAGTGGCTCTTGCAGTGTGTCTCACTGGCGATGGTTCGAGGTAATGCTTTCTCCGGCTGGCAGAGGATAGAAAAAAAAATTGTTTATAGTTACTTTGTTCAAACATTTTTCAATAGAACGATATAAAGAAAGAATGAATTTCTTTCTTTTGCCGCCAAACGTTAACTGAAGATCGCGTGCGGCCTAGCATCATGTACAGACTTGGTGAAATTTCAATACCGCCAATACAAAATTATTAAGCATTACCGTTAATTGTAGCAGTGGACACTTCTGTGGTTATTGGCCCTCGTTCGATGGCGTTCCTTCGGAGGATTGGCGCGATTGCATCTCAATTAAGGGACGAGCCTCGCGAAACGGAGTGGCTCTTGCAGCGTCTCATTGGTAATGCTTTCTCCATCATTGCGGGTAGCAGAGGCTAGAAAAAAATTGTTTATAGTTACTTTGTTCAAACTTCTTTTTTCAATAAATAAATTTCTCAAGACTTAAAAAAAATTAA